GCACAGGACATGTTGAGGATCCAACTGGATGTGGCTTGGGTAAGTCCACGAGTTGGGGGAGGAGGAGTTTCAGAGAATCCTCTGGGCGGAGCCACCTCCATTATCTAGTTTGATGATGTCTCAGCTTTGGCGGACCTGTGTCCGCACACTGGACAGGGGGTGATGGGGAGAAGGCTCAACAGAGGAACAATAAATACCACCAGCAATTCTTCCCAGGAGAAAGCCATGCCTCTGCCCTCACTCCAACAACTCAGTATTTCTCTATAAGTCCCTGGAGCCCCTCCAAGCAGCCAACCGGGCGCTGATACTCAGAGCAAGCTAGTCTGTCACTCCAAAAATCCTGTTGCGGACATGGCCCTTTTAAAACGAATGTCTGCTGCTGCTGCAGCCTCTGTCCCACTCCACCACTCAGGACAGGACAGCCTTATGTCTTCACCCTCTCCTACCTTCTACCATTGCAGGGCGATTTCTTATTTCTCTCCCTAGTTGTAGGGTTTCTGTTCATCTAGACCCCCAGGCGACTCTGCTTGCTGTTAGCTCCATGTTTCCTTCACAACATTGATGTGGTTGCAAGAAATGTACAAAGCCTTTATCATCTACACCATTTTGCCTGGTCTCACAGTTGTCATTTTTAATGTTTGTGTGCTTCACAGATTTCCATTTAGTCAGAAGGAAGACGGCCAAGGAAAGAGGAAATGTAGTCTGACTCTGAACCCTGAACAGAATGTCTAAGATTCAAGTTCTCTCATGGGGTGGGTCACATATTCTTTTTGGGGCCCATTCAGTTTTTTCAATGCAGCTGCTGGATCTAGTTTCCACTCTGCCTGCCATCAGAGGGCAGTTTTGCTCTTGTATCCCAGCATGGGTCCATTTTTGATGGCTGCCCAGAACCCTGCCCTGGAAACAGCTGTGAGGTCAAGTTCAGGCTCAGTGGAAGGAAGGCCTCTGATTTATTACTGGCATCTGCAATAGTCACAGTTCCTAGCACTGCCTTCACTATTGCTCCCACTTGTAATAAGATGTTAAATGACTCCAAGATGATGCTGGGCACTGATGAACCTGGTCACTCCATGAGCTTCTGAATTGGAGAGCTCTCTCCTTCCACCACCACTGCATATATCTAGATATAATTATAGGCACTGTAATGGTGTTTTGGATTTGCATCCTGACCCAGGCATGAATTTATTTCAAAGAATACTTTAATATTTTCAAGGAGTCAAGCAGCTTTTGATTTCTGTTTATTTTGAATTTTATTGCATTGTAGCCCCAAAATGTGGTAAAAATTTTTGTCCTTTTAAATTAACTATTTTTTGTGGCTTTTTTAAGAATACCATCAAAGGCATTTTTATTTCTTTGCAAGTATGTCAGCTCAGTTTTTTAAAAATTCATTTTTTTAAACTTTATTCTTTTGGGTATATGGATCAGTTATGTTTCATTTCTCATGCTTTTCCCCCTTTTTTAGCCTTTTATCTCCCTGGCCCTTCATTCTCTTTTCTTTCTATGACTTATGCTCTAGATTCTATGATTTAATAACTGTTTGTTAGTTAAGGTAGCTCAGGTTGTTTTCAGTTCTAGAAACCAGAAAATTTGACACATAATAGTATGAATAAACAAGGGTAGGCTATGGTAGATGAAGCCACAGAGATAGGCAGGGACCAGGTTATCTAAACTTTTATTCTACTGCAATGAGAAGCAAGGGGGAAGTTTAAATGGGAGGTGGGTGGTATAAAATGTTTTCAAAAGATCACTCTGAATGTAGAGTGAACTATAGGAGGGCAAGACAGGAAGCAGGGAGATGGTAAAGAAACTATGTTTGGCATTAGACCAGAATGAGAGGAAGATGGCTGAAACTGGTTGTAGGTATGGAGAGAGTGAGAAAGGGCCACAACCAGGATGCATATTGCAAGCAGAGCCAACAAGGGATTGCATGTGCGGTGAAGAGTCAAGCATGACTCCTGGGTGCCCTCCCCCGGGTGTCCCATCCCCCCAGGAAAGAGAATCCAGGTGGTTTTCAGCAGATAAACATATTGAAAGCTGTGAGACTGTGTGGGATCACTCTGAGAAGAGAGGTCAGACAAGAAAGAGAAGGGGGCTGAAAATCACTAGAGATCTGGTGGAGGAGGAAGAGCAGGAGAAGGAGCATACAGTAAGCTGGGAGAGAAAAAAATCCAGAGGAAAGTGTTTCAGTAAGGAATGTTTTGAAATGTACCTAGAGATTTGTTTTAATCAGGTATGATAAGACATGCAGACAGTGAAATAACTGTCATGAAGGAAGAAGTTTTTACTCTGTTTTCTAGAAACAGATGGCATGGCAGGCCACGCAGAGCCACTTGGGGAAGTACCTAGGTCAGCCAGAAGGCATAGGGAGTGAGGGGAAAGCATCAGCCAGAGCCATCACTGTGGTTAGAAATGGGAGAAGCAGGGTAAACAGACTAAGTTTGAATAATTTCAGTGGGCTCTGGAGTATAGGGACTGTCCCCAGTAGTCTGTACCTGGCCTGGGGGTTATTGGGGTAGGGGGATACTAGCCTGTAGCATAATAGCCCACAGAAGAGGTGTGGCAGGGTGTGGGCTCTTGATTATTTGTAAACAAAAGCCACACTCAGGCACTATTTGCTTTCTCTAGAAATTAGTTAACCCTGGAAGGGGGAATTCCTTCCTGGTCAGCTAGGCTCCAGATGCCAGGGCCATCAGAAAATAAGAAAATACAGTTAATACATGGAAGAAGTGCTCAAGTGTAGCATCTGTGTCAAATGCAACTAAGAGATTGAGTGAGATAAGAACAGAAATTTGGCCTTGAGTTTGTGAAGTAGTGTTGAGGAAAGCTAGAATGGAATGGGTTCAGGAGAGAATGTGAGGACAGGTAGTTCTAATGGTGCAGAGAAACAGAATGGTGAATGCAGAGGTACTTGGGGTTTAAGGTGGCCTTCTTGTTTAAAATGAACATTAGGGCATGTTTGTATGCTGATAGAAATGACCGCGGTAGGGAGGAGGAAATACATACTATTGACAAGAGATCATTACATAGAACTCTAGGAAAGTAGGCTGAAAGGACACCTCAGCCTCAAATTTACTTGAAGCTACAGCTATAATCTGTAAGATAAATGGGATTTGTGCCTTCTATTTCATAATACAAGCACATCTTACAGAACAAATCCTCAAATAATGTTTCCCTAGAAAGACACTTCTGATATTTGAATACCCAAACTGCATGCATAGCATGCAGTTTACTTAACTTCAGTTCTTCCGACTCTTATAGTAAAATTAACACTCAAGAAAGTTGTACCACAGATATTCTGCTGTTAGGCATCCTTTCTGCACAGAATTGGGGCTGTGCATATTCCAGTTTGAGAAGCATGTACTAATACATGTACTAACGTGTATTTATCTCTCAATACATGTTTCGGCTGATGTTTATATAAAATATATATATATTATAAAGTGTCTTTGAAACTTAATAAAATATTTTAAACTAAATGACTTGATAGAAAATCTTTATCTTGCTTCCAAATACAACTGAATCACACTAGTTACTTTGCAAAGCTTTGGAGTATCAACAAAGGAGGTGAATATATCTGATGTCGCTGTTTTGAGAGGCCACTGCTACTAATTTGTGAGATGACTAAGAAGCAACGTTTTAAGCATTTTACAATTGAATATATTTGTAATTTATGTCTAGGAGCCATATTGTGATTTAGGAAATTGGTACAGTTTTTCAATTGACTTGCTATTCCTTATATTTTTTCCAATTTAAAATAATGAGAAATAGGTTTTCCTTAGAGTTTTCTCAGTGACAGTCTGACATTTCAGGCACAGGTTACGGACATTAACTGGTAGGTGGCTTTCCAGCTTTGTCTTAGTTTAAAATTTTTAACACTTACCTTATAAATTACTTAACTTCAGTTCTTCTGACTCTTGTAGTAAAATTAACGCTCAAGAAAGTTGTACCACAGATATTCTGCTGTTAGGCATCCTTTCTGCACAGAATTGGGGCTGTGCATACTCCAGTTTGAGAAGCATGTACTAACGTGGTACTTGAGTTGATCAGAAAAATTCAATGGAAAAATGAATTATTACTGTAACCCCTAACAGCAACAAATTATTAAGAGGTTCCGGAAGGATACTTTAAAAGGGATCTCAAAACTGGTTTCCAAGGCGACTTATTGTAGGGCGGACAACAGAAATTGTGTATGACCTTCCTAAACAAACTTCCTTAACATTTTGGGAAAGACCAAGGGGGGGCGGGGTGCTCTCAGAGGAAGGATTTATGGCAAGACAGCAGTTAGGAGGGACGGAGGGCATTTCGAGACAGGTGACTTTGAAAGAAGTTCCGGGTTCCCAGGTACCAGGTACTTCCATTTTAGGCAACGAATTTAAAGAGTCAGGTACTTGTCAAACAGTTTCTGTTCTGGTTCCAAAGAAGCCTAGGACGCAGCACTGCTAGCCCACCCCCACCTGGGGGCCGGCCTCCAGGAGAGCGGCCTGGCCGCAATGCGCATGCTCAAGGGGCGGGGCGAGAAGGAGCCGGAGGCGTCAAGCTACGGGAGGGCCTGCGTCCGGGAGAGCATGGCCACCCTGCGCAGGTTGCGAGAGGTACCCCGGCACCTGCTGGTCTGCGAGAAATCTAACTTCCGCCACGACAAGTCGCGCCACAGGCATCTTGTGGAGACGCACTATCACAACTACAGAGTGAGTTCTGCCGCCCTGGTCCCCGGGCCGAAAAGGCTTGGGGAGATCCACACTCTGCTTGGCGTGACGGGCCCGCCTTCGGCACTGGAGGGGCGGGGAGGGGTCCTCGCCGGGTGTCCTGGGAGCTGTAGTCTCTTAACCGCTCGCAGCTGGTTCCTTGGGGAGCTGCAGGACTACAACTCCCAGGGTGCGCCGGGCGCGGGGCGGTATCTGGTCTTGGGGGATGGGGGTAGGGCAGTGTGCGCCTGGCCGTATCTGAAGCGCCGCTAGCACGCTACTCCTCCCTTCCCGGCCCAGGTGCAGTGCATCCCCGGGAGGGACGTGAGAGACAGAGTCAGGACAGCTGCGAAGTGCAGCCGCTGGCCGGCCGCATACAACTCCCTTTTTCCCCGAATCGAAGCCAGGCTCTCTCCTCCTCCCCACAACTTAATTCTTTCTCCCACCCGCGTGGCCATGGATCTTTTCAGAGAATCGTATCGAGTCCAGGCGCAGGAAACTACTCGCTTTTCTAAACTGTTTATGAAAACTGGTTTGATATCTGAATAACTTTCCACTTTGCCTGACTGATGTCTTCTGTGTCCTCAAGGCAAAGTGCCCTATTTCGGCAGCTTTTGGAAGTTCGCAGTGGTGGCGGAGCTATCAAGCACAGATTAAGAGCTTTACGGGAGTGGTAATATTGGCTGTTGCTTCGTGAAAATGTCACTCTTCTGGGTTGTCTTTTTCGCGAATGTGGAAGTCGAGGCCTCAGTGAGGTTAATTATTAGTTTATCCATGATCGGCTGAGTGTAGGGGAGAATAACCAACCCATTTCAGTGGTCAGGCTTCCAAAAAAATCAGCCTTCAGATGATAATGGTTTCAGCCTTTAGCATTTTAAATTGATCAGCCTAATCTCCACTCAGGCCTGAGTGGCCAGTTTCTCAGAGACACAAGTGGTGACTCTGATTCTTCAGGAACATACTGGTGTGTTCAAGCTTTGGGAGAGCGATTTTCGCAGTGTGGCGCTTTGGGTTTAACTCGTTAGGTTTAACATCTGTGCTTTGGATGGAAAGCTCATACAGACAGTAGTCAGGGATGTATACCTAAACTCGCTAGGACCGATCTGTAGAATTTTTCTGTCTATAAAACAGAAACATCCAGGAGCACTTCTGCTTCCATCTAACCTCTTAAAAATTGGTTCTGAAGGGATAAATTCCTTATTCCCAACAGTTCTTTTGATTCAAGGCTAGTGCAAGGATAAACAAATCTAGGGATATTCAATTGTCCTATATTTCCCTAAAAATTAGAGTAATAAAAGGAACAGGATATAAAACACATTGCTTATTTATAAAAGTAAAATATCAGCGAGACCTTTCCTTTAAAGTTGTTTGCTCATTCTCTTTCCTGAGCTGTTTGAATACAGAAGTGAAAAACTTGAATTGTCAGATTTTTCTCTTCCTGAGATTAGTAAGTTAATTTATAAGAGTTTTGTATGAATCTGTGGAGAAATAGCAGCTTTCATGATGTTACATTGTCCCCCAAAACCTGGGTGTTGATCCACATGAAAATAAGACTTGTTTATATTACTCATTCCAATAGGTTTCATTTCTGATTCCTGAATGTGGGATAGTATCAAAAGAACTGAAAAACCTGGTCATGGAAACTGGACCCTATTACTTTGTGAAGAATTTACCTCTTCATGAGTTAATTACACATGAATTCATCAATACTTTTGTAAAGAAAGGTAAGAAAAACCGTGTAGTGTCCATGAACATGGCCATATGAGGAAGTGTGGTGCTTTTCTAGCTTGAAATGGGACCTATGGAGATAGTCCATGTGGTTAAGTTCTTATATCACTCTCCCGATCCCTCAGTATTCCCACCTCACTCTTTCTCACTAGGCGATGGTTTCTGATGACAGTTGTCTACAAGTGTTGCATGGGGATGTTGTAACATGAGCGTATCCCTCATCTTAAAAGTTAATCGAGAGGAAAGTCTTTTGATCTATGTATTCAGATATACTGCTGTTGGGTATGTGGCTGCAGAGAACACTGTGCTCCCTTTAGTTCTCACAGCAGCTGTCTCAAAAGGTTGGTTTCCTGAGGCAGTCACAGCAGCTGTTGACAGAGCCAGGTACTCGTTGTTATCTTCTGCTTAGATTTTGTGACTCTCCTCCTTAGTTCACCCCATTCCCATTCATATCTGCTGGGTGGATTGATTTATTCCAATTATTTTCTAGGAGCCACTTGTTTGAAACTGTATTTCAGAAAGTCTTTAGGGATCCCACCCTCACTACATAAGTTACTATACTTATAAGTAAGTAAGCCACTTACTTATCCTGCTGTAGGATCCATGTTCGTCCTTTCTAGTGGAGCTGTAAAGGATCCTAATTACTTGTAGCTCCTCTCATTCTGATGTTGCTGGAGCTGCTTATGAAGCTGGATGTCTTGTCTTCGGTCTCATCAACATTATTCCTTTCATCTGTTTTGAAGTTTGATAATACTTTGTAAGTAGTGTGGACACTGGCTATAGTAGGCACTTTTACATACTTTACCCAGTTTAAACTCTTGCAACAACTCTGTGATCCCCATTTTACAGGTGAGGAAATTGAGCCTGGGAGAGATTGAGTAGCTTTCCTATCTTTATACAAGTTCCTGGCACATTTTGAATCTTAACCTGGAATTCTACCTCACAGGTGTGTACATTTACCTAGTATTCTACTTAGTGCCTCTCTGCCAGCATCCCCAAAGGCACATGCTCCATCCCGAGTCCATTTTCTGCTTGATTTTAGTCAACTTGCACAAAGAGGTCTTCAGCAGGGGATTGGACTAACTGTGCTTGGCCTTTTACGTCCTCCAGGCTAGCATTGGCAGGTGTTAGGTTTATTGAGTGAGCTGGAGCAATGATCTGGAATATTTATTATCATGTAAAAATAATCCACTAAGTTTTTGCAGGTGTGATTTTCTTTTTTAAGTCTTAATTTCTCCTCTGGGCTTTCTCTTACAGGTTCATGCTATGCACTAACTTACAATACAAATATTGATGAAGATAATACTGTTGTCCTGCTGCCAAATGGTAACAACAATGAATTTTTACTTCTTTAATTATAAAAGAAATATATACTGTAAAAAAGTCAAATCATACAGATGTTTATAAAGTAAAGGTACCCCCCCCCCTTTATCCCCATTTCTCCAGCTCACTCCCCTTAGAGGAAACTATTTTTAACAGGTTGGTGTCCATTCTTCTAGACACTTTATATGAATTTATAAACACACATAAAAGTACTTTTTCATAAATAACATCATATTATATTGTTTCTCAATTTGCTTTTTCCCCAAGCTATATAATCATAGACATCTTTCCATATCAGTGCATATAGTTCTAACGTACTGTTTTTAATGTCTTGAAGGTATTCCAAAGAAAAAATGTACAACAACTTATTTATTTCTTCTTCAGTAGACACATATAAATTTCTAGCTTCACTGTTATAAATAATAGCTTTGTATGTATAATGTACAAACAATGCCCTTGTATTATAAATAAGATATATGTATGTATAAATAATATCTTTGTATTATATATAAGATCTTTATATGAATTTATTGCACTGATATCAAACTGCTCAATTTGCCTTGCTTTCTTTTAATCAGAGAACATAAGTCATTTTTGACATCTCTTTTATGGGGATTATTCAATTTCTAGGGAAATTAATTTTATCACTGGATAAAGACACTTATGAAGAAACTGGACTTCAAGGTCATCCATCTCAGTATTCTGGCAGAAAAATAATGAAATTTAGTAAGTATTATGCCTGCTCCATCAGTTTCTAACAAGGTAGTAATCTCTTTATAGCAATTTAAATTTAATTGTTTGAATTGCCTCTATTCTCTTTGTTCAGAAAAAGTATGGGTTTTCCTTGTCTTTAAAGCTTCTGATTCAGGGGCTCTCAGTTGGACCTCAGAGAGGATGAGATAATGCTGTTGTTATAACTATTTCTCTTCAGCTGTAGGCTGCATCTTATAAAGATCATAGAATTGGAATGGTTCATTAGATATTTATGTTTTGAGTCAAAAATTCAAAGTAATGACCCAAGGTAAGAGTCTACAGCTTTCTTAATAAAGAATTTCCTTTGATTTGACATAAGTCTTTGTGATTACTAGTAGAAATTTACCTATGAGTGAAGAGTTGTGGTTCTACTGGCAGTGTCTGGCTTGAGTATCAATAATTAAGGCTGCCACATCCATAGGTAGATTACAGTTGACATCTGTGCCCTTGGTCTTTGACCTAGGAATATATGAATTTAAAACATCTGCCATTAATATCTCCTTGGGCAAGGGAAACAAAAGAAAAAATAAACAAATAGGACTACATCAAACTAAAAAGTTTTTGCACAGCAGAGGAAACCATCAACAAAACGAAAAGACAGCCAACTAAATGGGAGAAGATATTTGCTAATGATATATCTGAAAAGGGGTTAATATCCAAAATATATAAAGAATTCATATAACTCAACAAAAAACAAACAATCCAATTAAAAAAATAGATATTTCTATTGGAGAATAGATATTTCTCCAAAGAGGAAATACAGATGGCCAGTAGACATGTGAAAAGATGCTCAAAGTTACTAATCATCAGAGAAATGCAAATTAAAACCACAATGAGATACCACCTCACACTTGTCAGAATGGCTGTCATCAGTAAATCAAAGAACAACAGTGTTGGCAAGGATATGGAGAAAAAGGAACCCTCATACACTGTTGGTGGGATTACAGATTGGTACAGCCACTACGGAAAAAGTCTGGAGGTTCCTCAAAAAACTAAAAATGGATCTACCTTTTGACCCAGCAATTGCGCTTCTGGGTATTTATCCAAAGAAAACCAAAACAGTAATTCGTAAAGATCTGCATATCCCTATGTTCATGACAATCCAATAAAAAATAGATATTTCTATTGGAGAATAGATATTTCTCCAAAGAGGAAATACAGATGGCCAGTAGACATGTGAAAAGATGCTCAAAGTTACTAATCATCAGAGAAATGCAAATTAAAACCACAATGAGATACCACCTCACACTTGTCAGAATGGCTGTCATCAGTAAATCAAAGAACAACAGTGTTGGCAAGGATATGGAGAAAAAGGAACCCTCATACACTGTTGGTGGGATTACAGATTGGTACAGCCACTACGGAAAAAGTCTGGAGGTTCCTCAAAAAACTAAAAATGGATCTACCTTTTGACCCAGCAATTGCGCTTCTGGGTATTTATCCAAAGAAAACCAAAACAGTAATTCGTAAAGATCTGCATATCCCTATGTTCATGGCAGCACTATTTACAATAGCCAAGATATGGAAGCAACCTAAATGCCACAGATTGGTACAGCCACTACGGAAAAAGTCTGGAGGTTCCTCAAAAAACTAAAAATGGATCTACCTTTTGACCCAGCAATTGCGCTTCTGGGTATTTATCCAAAGAAAACCAAAACAGTAATTCGTAAAGATCTGCATATCCCTATGTTCATGGCAGCACTATTTACAATAGCCAAGATATGGAAGCAACCTAAATGCCCATCCATCAACAGACGATTGGATAAAGAAATTATGGTTCATATATACAATGGAATATTACTCAGCCATTAAAAAAAAATGAAATCCTACCATTCGCAACGACATGGATGGACCTAGAGGTTATTATATGAGTGAAATAAGTCAGAAAGATAATTCTATATGGTTTCACTTATATGTGGAATCTAAGGAACAAAAAGAATAAACTAATCGAAAACAGACTCACAGATACAGAGAACAATCTGGTTATGGCCAGAGGGGAGAGGGGTTAGGGGGCTGGGAAAAGGAGGTGAAGGGTTAAAAAAATACAAATTAGTAATTGATAGATGGTAATGGGGATGGGGAGTATGGCGGGGATGGGGAGCATGGCATAGGGAATGCAGTCAGCATTAATGTAATGTCTATGTGTAGAGCCAGAGGAGAGAAAGAGCAATTGGAGATTGCTTCATGAACTATATAAATGTCTAACCAATGTACTGTATACTTGAAAGTAGTAATAAAATAAAATCGAAAGCAAAAAAACAAAACATCTGTCTAGCTCTCAATGCTAGAAATGTCCCTGAAGACAGTTTTGATTTGGAAATCCAAAAAGAGTGCAAGAACAAAATTTTTACTATACATAAAGTTACAAAAATTCTGATTTTTTAAATATAATACTTTTTCCATAGTGCAAGCTATTTATATGAATGAAGTATTTATTTCTCTTTCTATTTTTTAAGTTGTTTCCATTGATTTGATGGACTTATCCTTTAACTTGAATTCTAAGAAGTATGAAAGAATATCTTGGTCCTTCAAAGAAAAGAAGCCATTGAAATTTGATTTTCTTTTGGCATGGCATCATACAGGTATGAAGACTAAATTATGAAATAGTAGTGATTTCGATTGTTAATTGTTGAAGGGGAGTAATGGAGAGTTGAATGGTGATTCATCTCTATTGTCAGGGATATTATATGTACATATACTTGTAAACATTATTAAGGAAGCTGCTTTGGCACCTCTAACATCCCCGAGAACCGTAGTTGAGGATAATATATGCATGCAGCCATCTGCCTCCATCTTGTTGGGTTTTATGTAGATCAGAGATCTTGAGAGTGGCTGTAGAGCAACTAACCTTTATCTGTTTCTCCCCTTCCTTCCTCCAGCTTATCTCAAACACCCTTGGCTGTAATGTTTTAAAATAATACCAATGATAGTTATAGACACAAACTGTTTATTCATTATTGCACAGTAGTAATCAGACATACCATTAAAGCTTAGATTAAATTTGTTGCAGGTTTTAGCTGATTAGAACACGAAATTTAATTCAGTTTGAAGTTTGACGGTCACCAAACTTGTTAATCTACTTAAAATTGCCATATGCCTTGCTTCTTTCAGAAGTGCATTTTTGGCCCATCACAAGATTATAATGAATCAGATCGTTACAATTCCGATGGCCTAGTACTCTCTTTTAGAGAATAGAGAAGCACACAGGTCCGTTTTGGAGATATGCCCATCAGTCTACGCCTCATGGGAAGTTTCTGGTCACTGGGTGCTCCACGTTGCTTGTATGAGTCCTAGGTCTGTAATACTTCAGTGTTTTCTGACTTACGGTAGAGATACAAAAGGGCAGAGAGACAGACTCATATTTCAGTCACATGAAGTCTTCATTGAGGACTATCTATGCGTTGGGTTCTGGAGGGCTTTGTGTTCCTAAGATTTCTAATTATTTTGAGTGCTTATCAGGAACTCTGAAAGGTCTGAGATTTTACCCCAGTTGCAAGCTAAGAAGTTAGCCTACACAGTCTCATGGATTCTGGCAGAAGATATTTGAGACTCCTGGGTCAGAGACAGAGGACTTAATTATAGCAATTTCAGTGACTAGAGTATTAGCATTTGTACCAGTTCAAGTCCAAGTTCCTACAGAGTGATACACAGTGGGCCAGGTGATGCTGGCACATACAGTGGTTTATGTTACAGAAAGGGAACTGGGAGCTTAAGGAACTCAAATCTTTTATACTAGGTAGTAAACCTACTGACCTTTGCCCTGGAGGAAGGAAAGGAGACATTTCCATTAGACTGGACAGTGAGCAAGCCTGCCTTTTGCTCCAGTGAGGGCCACTATTTCTGTTTTCCAAGGCTGTTGGGAAATCTTTGAAAATACACTGGGTTACTGGATTTTCAAAGACAGGCTTAAATGAGATTCTATCACTATTCAGTTCCTCTTCAGTTTCCTTAATAGAGATTGTGTAAATATGCTCCTTTATCAGAAAAAAAATTTCATTTGTATATAAGTAAGGCCTTTGGATCTATTAAGTCGAAATTTTCTTATACAGCAAATGAAACTACTACGGGTTGAATCTGAAAGTATTAGGCTTTTCCAGGAAAAGCATGAAAGATGAATGTTTATAGAACTTTGGCACAAGGAACTGAAAGCAGCTTAAATTATTTTAATTTGAATATAGCTTTGCACAACTTCAGTCTTTCTTAATCCTACCTGCTTCCTTTAACTCTCAGATAGGATGGGGTAGTTTTAGGGATTCATGGAAATTGTTTACAATATTCAAATGGCCTTATATGGTTTGTTTTAAAGGTGTAGAAGAATCAACGATGATGTCATACTTTTCCAACTACCGAATTCAGGAGCATCAGCCAAAAATAGCAGTGAGCACGATGACAGATCTGCAGTGCCCAGTACTGCAGAGCAGTGAGCTCAGGGGAAAGCCAGAGGTGTCCTGCAGTGCTGGGGAGCTCCTTGATTGGCTGGGCGCCGTCTTCAGTAATGCTGAACTGTGCGTATGAGAGCTCCTGGGGCTTCTGGGGCTCTGGCTGGCTTCTTGTTTTTAATAGGGGCTTAATACTTTGAAAGTGATCATGTGGTGGATATAACTGTGCTTTCTCTTTTTTGTATGTGTGACAGAAATAATGAGCCTAATAATTTCATATCAACCTATTGCTGTCCTCAGCCAAGCACAGTGGTGGCAAAAGCTTATTTGTGTACAATCATTGGTTTCATACTTCCAGAGAAGATATGTCTCTTGTTGGAACAGCTGTGGTAAGAGCACCTTTTGCCTTTTGTATCTTGCTTGTCTGTGCTGACGTGACACTTTAGGGGCAGTACTACTGTTCCAGATTTCAGGGTCCTGTCTCATTTCCCCTTTTTCTTTTACTTTGCTTGGACTCACAGTGTAGTAACATTATCATCTTAAACAACAATTGTTTTTGGTGATAGGAAAATTCTATTGCCATGTACTTGTCCTTATGAAAAAACGAAGAGCAGAGCTTAACTGCTTCTCAAAAATAAACTGGTCATTTTTCTTGTTCTGCGCCAAACCATTTTGGCACAGTTGAAGTTATGTCACTTGAGAAAATAGCGATACCCTTTGAAGAACATGATGATCTGTTTTAAATATTGGAGTTTTGCAAAATGCTTCATTTTAAAATGGGGTGCAAAAAAGAAGTTGACGATCTCTGAATCCAAATCATATCTAAAATCTGTTCCAGCTCTAACATCCTATGAATCACTGGGTATCAGTAATATGCCAAGGATCGTCTAAAGCAGTATTAGTTTTTTCATTTTGGGAGGTATTATAGAAATAAAATACTAAATTGTATCTAATGTCAGGAGACACAAATCCCATATTGAAATGGCTACAAAATAAGCATAATATCTTCTCGGTCTTCACTTTGAAAATGTCTAAGATTGAAATCTTGAGGGTGTTCCTTTTTAAACCTAGCGTTCTTTTTCACATTCATTAGTTTATACTTTGATTTTCCTCAAGAAGGTAGAATTTTTAAAAATCTGATAAATTATTTTGCTGCATTTCAGTTATAGAGATTCTGAAAACAGCACTGTTAAAGGGAGGGAAACTACTCATACACTTTGTGGATTTTTTTGTTCTTTGAATCTTATATGATCTTCTGCAATGAGGATAGGATAAGCTGAAATTTGTTGTGTGTGTATATATTGGTTAACCATTGAATTCACAATATAGCATCAGGAATTTAATTTGCGTCTCCTATTTTTATAAATAAAAACTAAGATCTAAGCTTCATTGGAACATCAGAAAGATTATTTATCCTAAATAAGAAAAAAATCTGAACATTCCTAACTTTCTCTGTTTGTTAAGAATTATCTTTCTTTTTCAGTCGCTACTTTGATGAACCAAAGTTAGCTCCTTGGCTTACGTTGTCAGTTCAAGGCTTTGCTGACAGTCCTGTTTCATGGAGAGAAAATGAACATGGTTTTCGAAAAGGAGGAGAACATTTATACAACTTCGTGATTTTTAATAATCAAGATTATTGGCTTCAGATGGCTGTTGGGGCAAATGATGACTGTCCACCATAAAAATACAGAATTTCTAGTCATATTTGTTTATGTTTATGCTGATTTTCAGATTTCTTAATGGTAAAAGGACTGTATTCATTCAGGCTTATATGATGATGACATATCTTCTTAGATAAGCATCCATTAGCATTCTGCTCTGGACTTGGGGCCTGCGACTGTAGCTGGGCTTGTCATCCAATGAATAGCTCTTAGTTGATTTCTCCCTGTCAGTGTAAACACAGGGGTATGGGTTACTACATGGTAGAGTGTAGTAACTCTATACCGTAAGGGACCATTGGGTAAGATGTATGCTTTTAACACAGGCACATGATTACAACTTTTTCACGTAATAATAAAAAGATATCCTCCTATCGTACTTACCACCTGCTTTAAGTGTTGTTCGTATATTACCTAATTTAATTCTCACATCAGTCTCGTGAGGAAATAGGCACAGAGTATAAATGAGCTACTGAGTTGACACTGCTTGATCTCAGGCCACCTCATTCCCAAGTGTGTGTGCTCACTCCTGCCTCTGGATCAGGAGGGCTATCTGAATACTGTATACTGTTAAAGAACAAGTTGAAAGAATTTTTTTTTTCCAGCTGTATGGCTGATAAGGACCAACTTAAAACAACTAAAGCTTCTGGAATACATATCAAAAACCATATTTAAATATACCAATGAGCTGCAAATAAAGTATTCTCAAAGACTAAATAGAAACAATTTATGGAAATAGAAACCCAAATGCTTTATCCTTAGGATATTTACCAAATATCAAATTGAACTTTGCTTTTCATAGCCTGGGGTAAAGGCAAGGGCATTTTAATAGTAGACAAAGCTGAGGGCCCCTTCCCAAAGTGGATGGGCTAATAGAGGACTCCATAAAGTTGAGACCCCAAAAAGAGTAAGAGTGAATCATGAATAAAGCTGTATGCCTACCCCCTTACCGCCCTTGTTCCCCAGGATAGCAAGGATGATCACCTGTCCTAAGAGAAAACATCTTCCCTGAGAGAATATATATAACCACAAGCAGCCCTTGAGATGGTTTCTTCATACAACCTAAGTAGTCTAAAAAGTTTACTTATTTTTGTTTCTTTTTCCACTGGAAAATAATTTTTATTGAAATATCACCAGCTGTACAATCTTTTCCTAACATTAAGCTCTTTACTTTGTAATTTGGTCTTAAAGTGGTCCATGAATACTTTCTTCTCCTCCACGATCTGAAAGCAACCATGGCCAAACTTGGAGGTGGTGTCTGTGAACTTAATGTGAATCTTTTCTTGGGCCCAGAGTTTGGTCAGCGCTTCAAGCTGGAAATTTAAAATGATGGCAAGTTTTTAGTGTCTTCCAGATGACTTGCAGAAGCAAAACAGATTGTCTCTAGAGGAACTGAGAGATAGTGTCAAGGAATATAAGTTAACAATCAATTACAAACAGGTAAAATAGGCAAGCAGAAATGATGGAAATAAGAAGCAGGCCTACAAAAACTTAAGATAGTAGAGTTACCAAACAATATGAAATATGTTTTAAAAAAGATCAAAGAGCATGAGTAAAAACCAAGCAAATTGGGGAAAGTATCAAATGGAAATCTGGGAATAAAAATTATTGTAATTGAAAGTTTAATGGATTGGCTTAATGGTAGACTAAACACCACTGAAAAGAAAATAATAGATGTGAGGAAATAAAGACATTTTCAGACTTGCAAAAGCTGAAAGACTTTATCACCAGGAGACTGCATTACAAGAAAAGTTAAAGATGTTCTTCAGGCAGAAGGAAGGTGATACTAGATGGAAATCTGGATCTATACAAAGGGATGAAGAGCACTGGAAATGTAACAATATGGGTAAATTTATGATTTATTATTCAAACCTCTTTAAAAGGTCATTAAACAGTCATAATATATTGTGGGCTTTATAATATATGTGAAAGTAAAATGGATGACAATAGTAGCTTAAAGACCAGAAAGGAAAAAGTATACTATAAGCATACTGTTGTTTCTTGTATTATACATGAAATGATACACTATCATTTGAACGTAGACTGTTATAAAGATGTACATTATAAATCCTAATTAACCACTAAATTAACCAAATTGTAGCTATTTAATATAAAATGGAATCATAAAAAATATTAATCCAAAAAAATGACCGAAAACAGGTAAAATAGGAAACAGGTGGGATAAATAGAAAATAAAAAGTAAAATGATATACTCAAACCTAGCCATATCAATCATCACATTAAATAGAAATAGTTCAGACTCTCCAATTAAAAGGCAGAGATTGTCAGATTGGATGGAAAAAAATAAAGACAACTATATTCTGCCTTCCAAGAAATGTAAAGACAAAAGTATGTATCATGCTAACACTGGTCAAAAGAAAGCTGGAGTGGCTATATTAATATCAAAATAGATTTCAAAACAAAGAATAATAAGAGGAATTAAGGTTATTTCATACTGATAATATGGTCAATTAATGAATGTAAGTGACATAATCCTAAATGTTTTTGCTCCTAATAACAAAGCTTTAAAACATAGAACAAAAACTAATAGAACTGCAAGGAGTAATAGGCAAATACACAATTTATTTAGAGATTTCAGTACTTCTCTATAATTGACAGAACAAGTTGCAGAAAATGAGCAAAAATATAATAAACTTGAAAATATAGTATACTCGAATACTGATTTAACCTGACTGATATTTATAGAATATTCCACCTTACCACAGCAGAATACAAATTTTCTGAAGTGCATGTAGGACATTTATAAAGATAGACCATATTATGGCCCATAAAAAAAATCTCAAATTCAAAATTCATTATGCAAAATATGTTTTTGGCCACAATGGAATTAAATTAGAAATCAATAACATCCTGGAAAATCTCCAAGTAGTTGGAAATGTTCACAAGAACACAAATCTAAAGAGAAATTAGAAAGTCATTTGATCATGACTAATCAGGGAAATGCAAATCAAAACCAAAACCACAATAAGCTACCACCTCACACCCATCGGGAAGGCTATTCTCAAAAAATCAACAAGTCGTTGGTGAGGATGAGAAGAAAAGGGAACCTTTGTGCATGTTGGAACTGCAAATTGGTGCAGCCATTATGGTAAACAGTATAGAGGTTCCTCAAAAACTTAAAAATACATCTATCATACAACCCAGCAATGCCACTTGTAGGTATTTATCCAAAGAAAACAAAAAGATATATGCACACCTATGTTTACTGCAGCATTATTAACAATAACCAAGGAAGCAACCTAGGTGTTTATTGACAGATGAGTGGTTAAAGATGTGGTACACACTGAAATATTACACAACCATAAAAAAGAATGAAATCTTGTGATTTGAGACAACATGGATGGATTTAGAGGTTATTAGGCTAAGTGAAATAAGTCAGAAATAGATATGGTGTCATTCATATGTGGAATCTGAAAGAAAAATTAAGCAAAAAATCAGGCTCATAGAAACAAACCAAAGGAATGGTTACCATCTTTTGGGGGATGGAGTGGGGGAAAAAGAGAACAAGTGAAAAGGAATATAGTCAATAATATTGTGACAAGTGAATTTTAAAAACCCATAATTTGTGAGTTACCTTTAAAGCAATACTTGAGCTCACTCAAGAAGAAATAGATAAAACCTTCCTATAATGAAAATCCAAGTCCAAGTGGCTTCAGTGGCAATTTTTACCCAAAATTTGAGAAATAATATCAATTCTACACAAACTTTTCCAAAGGCTCAAAGAGGAGAGAATACTTTCCAATTCGTGCTATGAGGTCAACATTACCCTGGTGCCAAAATTATCCTGGTATCCTAGCCAGATGAATAAAATACAAAAGAAAACTACAAAACAATATTCCTTGTGAACATAGGTTCAGAAATTCTAAGCAAAATTTAATAAATGGAATCCTATGATATAATGAAAAGGTAATATGTCATAGTTTTTATCCTAGGAATACAAAGTTGATTTAACATTTGCATAATCACTTCAATACAGAAATAGTATTTGACAAAATCCACCATCTATTTCTGATAAAAACTCAGGCAAACTAGGAATAAAGGAAACCCCCAATGAGATAAAAGACATCTATAAAAACCTTACCATGAGCATCATACCTAAGTATGAAAGACTGAATACTTTCCCTCTTATGTCAGGAACAAATCAGGGATGTTTCTATTCAATATGGTACTGGAGATTCTAGACTGTGCAATTAGGCAAGAAACCAAAATAAAGGATATCCAGATTGGAAAGAAAATAAAATTGTCTTTTTTCACAGATGGCATGATTGTCTATGTAGAAAATTCAATGGAATCTATGAACAAGGTATTAAAACTAATAAGTGAGTTTATCAAGATTACAGGATGCAAAGCAATGTACAAAAATTAATTGCATTTCTATATGCTAGTGAACAATTAGAAATTGAAATTAAAAATCAACATTTGCAATACCATAAAATATAAAGTACTTAGAAATATATCTGACCAAAAAATGTGAAAGACCTCCATTCACATTGAAAACTATAAATATTGCTATGATAAAGACGTAAATAAATGGGGATATATGCCTTGTCATTGTTATTATTAAGGTATTATATTCCGAAAAGACCTAGAATGCTTTCCAGGGCTGTTTTAGAACTTGACATTATATGATCAAAAGCGTCCAGCTTTTTCATTCTCTATTAACATGATGTAGACCACCAGCCTAAACAGGAAGTCAGGAGGTGTTGCTTTTTTTTTTTTCAGTATATTCAGATTATAAGATTTTAATCTGTAAGAGGAACATACTGAACATGCCAACTAAGAGGAACTTAATTTAGGATCTGCCAGTTGAAGTTGGAAACAATATTGTCGTTAATTCTTTAGGATAATCTAGAGCTGACTAGTTTTTTCAAACTATATCTTCTAGTTAATACCATGCTTAATTATTTTTCACATAAAAATCTGATATAAAAGAGGGATTTTAAAAGACTATGTTGAATTTATATGAATAAGAAAATAGACTTGTAGATATACAGGAATGTGTCAAGAGGTTTCCAGGAAACAGAAGAGAGAGAGAGAAAAAAAGACATATCACCAGCACAGTTTTCTTAAATTTGGAGTGGAGCAAACAGTAACATAGCAATGGACCCAAATTTCTATGTCAGAAGCATCCTTTTTAAGGAGCTAATATTGTGGTCAAATATTTTTTTGTGTGTAATTATCTGGGACTTGGGGACCAGAGGGACCACCACAAAGCATATTCTTCAGAATCCAGATTAGGGAAAAATCTATATTTGGGTGCTAATTTACTGCTGCATTTATCTTAACAAATAGATCAAATTAAATTATTTAGCAGGAAGCTAAGTGTGACCCACCCATTTCTGAGGAAATGACCAGATGTCAAA